AGCCCCAGCCTTTCAGAATTGCCAGTCACATTGGAGCTTTATATGCAAAAACAATACCTTTTATCTTATCTCAGGTGTTATAATTTGGTCAGTCTTAGAGAAACCCGACAAATAGCTTGTGAATGTATCCCTGTGGATCATTTCTGCTCTGTGTCAGATCAATGTATGATTGGCGAGTATAAAACTCGCTCTCAAGTAGGAGTCATGGGTGGTGAACTGTTGAGCTGTTACCTGACAGTCTGGGAGCTCAAACTCATCCTGAGCTACTCTTCAGGAGAAAGATGGCTGGTCATCTCCAGCGAAGATCTGCAGCCCTGGAGGATCACCGTGAGCTGGAATTAACTCTACCATGTCCTCAAGCCAAGGAGAAAGTAAAATAAGAATGACTTCTTCTGTTCCCCTAGAGTTGAAGAAGGATACATTTATAAATAATTGGATGGGTAAACTGTTGCATAAAGCTTCCATTGAAGACAACATCTTTGTAACCACAGCCTTGGGTCCACATCCCAGCAGGCTTTAAGTTGGCACAGAAAGTGTCTATTTGTCCAAGACAAGTCTGAACCTCTCCAGACTTCTGGTTTCTGGGTATGCGTAAGATGACACACAGCCAAGATCTTCATAGAGAAGAAGAATTGGGAACTATTCACTTTTCATATCTCCTGGCTCAGCAGAGAATGAAAGGACGGAGCAGGTGAGGCTGCAATTCGTTGTTTCACACGAGGTCCTTAAGTATTGGAGCCCAAAGGATGGCACCTAACGGCAGCAGCATTCTTCATAGACAAACATCGTCACAATGGAAACAAGGGGGTTATTTCCTGATTAAAGTTTATAACGGCTCATCTTTAAACAAAATGTAACAAAAAATGTCATGAAAGTAAAACGACTGCTTAGTATTGACTGAATATCTGACTTTGGGCTAAAAATAGTTGCTGGTTACATCAATCACGATTTTAGAAATAACTTTGCCTTCTCACACATTGATTCTGACTATTTAGATAAGGATTTCTGCACTCATCATCCATCCAGTGAAGTCTGTTCATGATAAAGTTTGTAAGCTTAACACTACAGCATTCTCCCGAGACTATCAGGAACCATCACACAGCTCCCGAGGGGACAGTCCCATGTCGTCTGTGAAATCTCACTGGAATATCAACTTCTCTAAGTGGCAAAGTATTCAAAGAGAGAAGTGAACTCAAGCCCTTTTAACCTAGGAAATGGTTAGACGGCTTTGGGAATATAGGGTTTTGACTAAGAAAAGCTGGGATCGTGCCATTACATTCTCTGCATAGAAATGAACCTTAAGAAAAGACAGGGATATTTTAACTTTATAAATGCCAAAACACCCACACTGCTGAAGACTGGAATGACAAAATGTTTTCTTTCCCGAGCCACAGAGACGAGTTTGTGCAAACTGTATTATCCATTTCTGCCTTATCAAGACCCTCAATGTGATGGATTGATGCAGTTTTGGGAGCAATGGTTTCAAGGGTGTCAGAGGTGCTGAGGAGGGCTCAGGATAACTCAGGGTTCAGAGCTGTTGTTCACAGGGTCGCTATGAGTTATACTTGACTCCAGGCACCTGAAAACACGGAGAACGCCGTTCCTAAGGCGCTCTGGTGGCGTGCTCCACAGGAAGCTGTGCCATTCACCCAAAGCCGAGCTTCTCTGGCAGTTGGATCTTCCAGTGGTGTCTCGGGGAAAATATGAACAATCATCTCCAGTACAATCTGCAGCCACTGAAAACTGCTGGAGGGTCAGCCAACTATGAGTTCCATGTTGCCGGCAATAAGTTGGGGTTTTTGTCTATTTAAATTGTTCTTAGTGGTGGTAGTTTTCTTCAGGCTGAAGGCCTTGTTTTGCTTGCTGTTGATATCAAATCATCAACACTGCTTATTTGACAAGCATCAGGTGCTACAAAAAGCTCTTGAATGAATAATGTTTACATCTAAAAATCATAATTTATTCTAAATGGAGTGGAGAAAAACCACAACCTACCCCATTTCAAGGTCCCAGTGCAGGCATAGATACTGTGTAAAAGGTTTTCTTTAAAATAATAATAATAATAATAATAATAATAATAGAAGAAGAAGAAGGAGAAGATGATGATGATGATGATGATTTTTCTCTCACAAGCTGTTTAAGCAGAACGCCACTTCATAAACTTTCTGCATTTTGCCGGCATGTTTGCTGGGTGGTGCGGTGGTTTGTGATTGGTTTCCAAGCTAAAGTCTGGTGGGCTGAACCCATATAGAGGCCTTACAGCAGAAAGGCATAGTGATACATCTCGATAAAGATCACAGCCAAGAAAGTTCAATGTTACACAAGGTCCACCCACTTGTGCTGGAATCCACATGATGACACTGAGTTTTCTACTTTTAACACTGAATCATTTGATCATACAGAACTGACACTTCTGGAGTAAGCGTAGGTTTAATTTAAAGAGAAAGACAATATAAGAACTGACACAGATCCAGAAAACAGGAAAAATCATCTGACCTTTTCATTTATTCCCCCTACACGCTTAAAAGGAGATGTGATGGTGTAATGGTAAGGAGTTGTGCTGTCAATACAAGTGAATACAGTTCAAACCCACCAGCTGCTCCATGGGAGACGGACAGTATCCTCCTGTGCAATTAACTGCCTCTGAAAGCCCGCGGGAGGGTCGGCTAGGGGTAGGTTCTGCCTTGACAGCACACAACAGCACCTACTTATGGCATTAAAATGTCATAGTTGGGGGGGAAAATCCATCAGAATTATCATCATAAATATTGTGTAGAAGACAGGATGAATGAGTCACTTGAATAGTAATGAAAATGAAATCCTGAGCAACTGATAAATGAGTCAGTCTGACTCCACTGTGGACTCGTTCCTATGAACTACAAGGGGAAGACGACAGTGGCAACGTGCAAGAGAATCAGTTTATTTCCCAGATTTTCAATGACTGTTCATCTGTGGACACAGGTACCAATAATTAACACACCTTTCTGCGTGGTCTCCCGCGTAGAAGACTTGGTGAAGGTGATGTGTTTCATGTGTGCACTTGAAGTATGTAACTTGGGAATGAGGTATTAGGTTTGCAACATTTAAGTAAAACAAATAATGTGACATTGGAAAGCAGCACGATTCATTTCCCATAATGAGTTACGATGCGGTAAATCAGATCAACCCAGGGTGTAAATTACACAGCTCTGAAAGCAGCATTTATTATTTAATGCCTCATTCCCAGGCAGGTGCTTACTCAGTAGTAAAATCGGGTCTAGCACACCAAGCTTAAAACTACTCAACAGAGCATTCTGTTTTGCTGGTTTGTTTTTAACAAAACGACTATGCATGGCGTCAAACCACTTGTATGCATTTTTAACACTTTTCCCCAACACTATTAAGAATGCAATATTCCTTTGCTACCAAAACCAGAAATGAGGTATGGACGGACTGTACAGATGAGCAGAAGTTCTTGAACTGGAGTTTGGATTTTTTTTTAAAAGCATCACTTAGGGATGTTATGACAAAAGAGTTTCCAGGTTAACTACCCTTCTGGTTGCTTTTATTTTGTAAGACAGTGGTGCCGGAGTAAAACGTAAGATGTTCTACAATTAACTAAACAGATGAAGTTTCTCATTATGAAGGATTTACTGAGCTGATGTTCCCAGGCGTGTATTAGGGCGTGTTAAACTTTTCAAGAGAAGTTTGTGCTTCCTAAGAGTTCTCCTTCCTGAGGGGCTAAAATGTGCAAAAATGAATGAATGAAAGCCTAACTTTTCTGTAAACGTTTGTTAAAATGACAATAAAATTTTTTTAAAAAGTATTAAAAAATGTAAAAAGAGTTCTCCTTCCTAAGGAAGGTCCTTTGCTGAGTAAAGCTACTGTCGTTAGGGGCCATTCAATCTACTACAAGTCATGGAAACCCCACCAACAGCATATCTCATCTCTGCCGTGTCCACTGCTGTCCTCCCCACCTGTGCCAGGCTCAAGCCCATTGCTGCAGTCACTGTGCCAATCCATCTCGGTGAGGGTCTTCTGCAAGCCACTCACGGCTGTTGAGTCAGAACCACTCAGACCAACCCTCTAGTGAGTTTTCAGAGGCCCAGGAAGACACTGTCAGGCTTTTCCTCACAGAGCGTCTGGGGGAGTCAAGCCACACACCTTTGGCCTGGCTGTGTAACTCTCTACTCTTTAGGCCACCAGAGCTCCCTGGTGGGCAAAGGACTTGGAATAAGTGAATGGGGTCTTTTCTCCTTAGTGCAAACTGCTTGTGAGAAATTGGGGTGGGGGAAGTGTTGAAACTCAGCAGGTTTTCTTGTACAGTAATGCTTATAACGTATTATTGTTGTTATGTGCGTAGAAGCCAGTATGATTCATAACCACCTACGAACTACAGACCTGAACCCTGTCCGATCCTATGCCATCCTCATCATCTCTGACATTACTGAGTCCATTAAGGTTGTCACCGTGTCAATCCACCTGAGAGTCTTCCTCTCTTGGCTGACCCCCTCCAAGGAATAGTGCATAACAGACTGCCAACCACAGGGGAGAAGGCTGTCCAATCTCCTCCCTTAAGATTTACTGCCCCTAGAAGATCCTGGGAAGTGAGTATTGAGTGGGAAGCCACCGGAGGGCAGCGAGTTTGGTTTTGTGGCGTTTTCAAGCTCTCTGAAATCCAGTGGCACACTGGTTAAAGTGCTAATCTAAGGCCACTCTACAGAGGGAGATGTAGCAGTCTGCATCCCTACAGGTTTACAGCCTTGGGAACCAACACCTGGCGCGGTTCTGCCTGATGGATCTAGAAGGTCCCTAGACGTCGGTGTGGACCTGACAGCAGTGGGTGTGGACCTGAGGGCGTGGGGACTGCGTGCTCGGGAAGGTGCTTCCACCGGGGACTGGACGTCGCTGCTCAGGGTCCCGGGCAGCGTGGTCCCCGATGGGCACAGCCCCAGCAGGGCAGCCTCCACCTGGCATGACCCGCATGGCTTCGGAAGGCGCTCAGTGGGGACAGGACTTACGACCGAGTTTTTCATCATGGCTTTGACCGTGAAGCCCTCGGAGACCAGGGCATGCGGCTGGTGCACCGGGAGCGCCTGCTGGGCCAGCAGCTTGGTCCTCTTCGGCATCTTGTCTGGGCATTTGCTTATGCTTAGTGTCTCTTTCTCTGCCACCATCTTCCTAGGCAGTAGTGTCTTGTTTCTCACCAACAAGTGTTTGAATTAAGTGTATTACGGGTGTGGGAGGCGCCCCACCGACGGGAAGGCAGCCCCTCCTGGTGCCCAGGTGGACCCAGGTGTTTGGCAGCTCCTATGTGAGGGGACTTCGGGGAAGGGGAGGGGAAGGCAGGACCGCAGCCAGAGCGGTAACAAGCTTCCAAAAGTGAGCCCGCCGTTGCTAAGCAACGCATCAACATTGCGGCCTCGTCCTGTCGTGACGTAAGCCTGGAAGCCGGAAAGAGCCCCCGCTGGAGGCCACGCCGGGACTACGACTCCCAGCAGCCCGCGGGCCGCAAGTACTCCGCGCCTGCGCCTTTGTGCCGACTCGGGTTGGGGGCGGGTGTGAGCGGCCCTGGAATGCAACGTGTGGGCGGGGCCGAGGAGCGACTGTGTCTCAGAACTACAACTCCCGAAAGGCCTCGGGCGGCCGGCCTCCGCGCGTGCGTATTAGACCGGCGGGCGTGGGGAGGGGGCAGGGCGGCTGGAGTGACAGCAGGACAAGCGGCCGTGGAAGGTGGCGGGCGCGGGCGAGCGGCCGCCGCCCGTCCGTGACCATGATAGGTACGTGGTGCCTACCAGGTACAGCGTCTGTGCGCCGCGCCGGGGCCCGGGAGCCCGCGTGACACCTGCCAGTGACAGGCGATAGGTGCCCACGCTGCCCGCGCTCCTGTCCCGTGCCCACCCCGGGCCTGCGGCCCTCCTATGTGTGGGCCCCAAATCAAACCTGTGCTCTGTGACCTCTGCCCTCCTTTGCGCTGGGCAGGCTCTAGGCAAAGCCACTAGCCAGCATGGCCCTGGTGTGGCACCGCCCCCAGGTGACCACCTCTCTCCAGGCGCCACAAGGTCCCCAAAGCCCGTTGAGGTCACTAGAGCGCCGCCATTGCCAGTCCAGGTGTCCTGCACCTTCCCCAGGTGAGCTGGCCTGGCTGACTTTCAATCTAGGACACAGTAGGGCTCCAAGTGACAGCCTGGTGACAATCACACTCTGGTGAAAAACAGGTGGCATTGAATGAAAACATCCCTTCACACTTCGTGGCCCCTCGAGGTTTCCTTCCCAAACACCTCTCCCTCAGAGTCTATGGTGACAGGAATATTAGTCACGTGATGTGGCATAGATTGAGTCCTTTCCCTTTTACATAACGAATTAACTGCAATACAGCTTTTCTTAGCTCAAAATAGCCTAGATGCTATGTTGGGAGGGAAGTTTTGCAAGTGGATATGAGAATGTTTCTAAACATCATGTTTAAAACGCACAAATGTCTCCCCTTCAGAGGTTGTGAATAATGAGTTATTCTTGATAGAGACTATCTCTAAAACTTGGTAGAAATGCACAGTGTGGATTGGAAGACATTACTTTAGGGGACACGTTATGAAAGAGACTTGCTCCAGGTTATGTATTAGGAATGTCGTGAGGTTATTAGGGTTAATTTCTGAGGAATGGCACTTACAAAATGCTTTTGATCCCATGAGTACATGGGAACTCAGATGCAGTGTGTCCAGCAAGGTGAGTAATGGATTTGTAAAACTAAGTTTGTGTCTTCGTCTCCTAGTGTTGCTATGTCTGTAGAACAATTACTGCAAACAAATGGTTTTGTAGAACTGCTTTCTCCCAGTTCTGAAGGCGAAGACTCCCAGTTAGGGTTCCTCCCTGGTGGAAGCCTTCATTGGCTTCCAGAGACATTCCCTGCACCTGGCTGGTCTTCTGGCATCATCTTCCTCTTAAGCTAGTCTGTGCTTGATGCTTTTCTTATAACTCAGAAACCATAGGTTGAAGGTACAACCCACACTAATAGGCTCCCATTAACAAAGAGAACTTTCTTTCCAAAAGCGATCTGCCCACAGCCGCAGAGTAGAGGGTAGGAGGACAGCATAGATAATAGTTTGTATACACTGATAAGCATTTCCACTGGTTGTTATTAGTGGCGCTTTAATGGATCTCAACTCATGGAAACTTTGCATGTGAGAAGCATAACTTCCCAGTAGGGTTTCCAAGCCTTACGCTTTGAGGTAGATAGCCAGCCTGGTCTCCTGTCAGAGGCACTTCTGAGGTGGTTTGAACTGTCAGCCTTTCAGTTGGTAGTTACGAGTTTAACCCAGGCACCCAAAGCATTTCTTAAATCTGCTTTATGTGTGAAAATAATGCAGAACTACAGAACACATTGCATGTCGCTGAGACATTCACACTAGTTCATTGACTTTGCTGCAATGATAAACCTAGATGCATTGTTCATCTTACCTTTTTGAGCATGAAATGTATTTTAGGTAAGAACTTTAGAAAAATTATCAAATGAAAAAAATGATACATCTCTATGAATTTCATTGAGTCATTTTGTGAGACATTTGGGTAATTATTACTTGGAAACTCATACCTGAACTGAATCAGAAAACTTAGCTGAGGAATTTTTTTTCTTTGCAAATTTGTGGCATCAGGATTAGACACTAAAAAAACTCCACAAAACGAAACATAGTGCATACTTTTTTATTTAAAAAAAAAACCTATGCACATTTAAAAATTTGGCTTTAGTGCAAGAATAACGCTAAGCAAATTTCTTGTGAAACAGAACAAAAAAGCATATTAAAATTTCAAAAATTTTCATTTATTTCCAAGTTGTTATCTACCATATGATTATGCAAATAACTTTATTAGGTTGAAGGATGTCTAACCAATTGTGTTTCATTTTTATTTGGAACTTAATGACACAAATGGGCTGAATTTTAAAAGGTATCATTCTATTCTGGCAATAATTAGAGTTGGTTCAAATAAGTGTACATTAAAACATAACTATCTGGAGTCTTGGTGACACAGTAGCTGAGTGCTTATCTGCTAATGGAACGGTAGACATTCAAACTCACCAGCAGATCCATGAGTGAAAGATGAGAGATTACACCGTCGGGGTCTGTCTCTGTGGGACTCTTCTTCCCCGTCCAGCGGGGTAGCTTTGAGTCACAGTCAACTCCAAGGCAATGGGATATACATCAGCCTCATCAGGTATAGTACACAGAAGTTAATGAGCTACGTATATCAGCAGAGATCCTGAAGCAGCTTTATGAGGTCAGAACAAGACCCGGGCCCTGCTGTATAACAGCTATTGTTCCCATACAATTTAAAATTGGAGCAGAAGAAAATCAAAACAAGTTCTAGAGATCAAAAGTAAGATTTTGGATGTATCCCACCTGAATTTACAGATAATTTTAAAAATAGATCATCAAAGATCAGAAGATATGCAGGATGACATCAAGGATATCATATGTGAAAAGAAAGTAAAAGATCATTTAAATGACAGAGGAAAGAAGATCAAATTGCGTGTCAGAAGAGACTCTGAAACAGTCTTTCTAGTAGCCAAAGTGAACACAAGAAATTATTAAATAAAATAGCTGACAAGATTTGAAAGAGCAGCTCAAACACAAAGTAATATGGTAAAATATGAAAAGACCTAGTATTAGATAGCCAAAAAGGATACACTCAATATTTCTCAAGCTTAAATAACTGAAGAAGTAATTCAGTCCTTCATTTGAATTACTGACAAATTCTATAGGCAAATAATAGAACACAGGAAGAATTTTTTTTTAAAGAAAGGAAGGATTACACAGGAGTCCATGTGCTGTACCAGCAGTGTCAGCGTACCAACAAGGAGTTCATTGGAAATCGCCCATTTCAGGAGGTGCGGGGGGTGGGGGTGGGGCAAGGACTGCCGGGACTGATGGATGAAATCCAAGGTTCACTGAGGTCACTGGTGAAAAACAAGGGTGGAAGAATGAATGGAATACAGATAGCAAAATGCCAGAAGTTCAAGCAGGATTTAGAAGAGGCTGTGGGACCATGGATGTCATTGCTAATGTCAAATGGATCCTGGCAGAAAGTAAAGAATATCAGAAGACTGTCTATTTGTGCTTTATTGAAAGCTTTTAACTGTGTGGATCATAACGAGTTGTGGCTGACATTAAGAAGAATAGGATTCCCGGAGCACTTAATTGTACTCATGTGGAACCTATACTTGGACCAGGAAGCTGTGGTGTGAACAGAGCAAGGGAACACTGCATGGTTTAAAGTTGAGAAATGAGTGTGTGAGGGTTGTATTCTCTCTCCATACCTATTCAGTCTGTATGCTGAGCAAATTATTTGAGAAGTTGGACTCTATGAAGAGGAGTGTGGCATCCGATTGGAGGGAGACTCATCAATAACCTACTTCATGATCATACACAACCTTGTCGCTGAAAGTGAGGAGGACTTTAAGCACATGTTGCAGCCTTCAGTATGGATTGCATCTCACTGTCAAGAAGACAAACATTCTTACCACTGGACCATCGTGCAGTAGCATGATGGATGAAAAGTAGATTGAAACTGTCAACAGCTTCATCTTACTTGGATCCAAAATTAACACCCTTGGAACCATCAGTTAGGATATAAGGAGACCCATTGCACTTGGAAAATCTGTAGTTAGGAACCTCTCCAAATTATTGAGGAATAATAATGTCAGTTTGAGGACTAAGGTTTGTCTGATTCAGGCCATGGTATTTCCAATCACTTGCTGTATATCAGAGAGCTGGACAATAAATAAAGATGACTGACAAATTGATGCCTTTAAGCTGTGGTGTTAGAGACCATTGACGATTCCATGGCCAAAGCAACAAATAGGTATGTCTTGGAGAGGGTGCATCCAGAGTGCTCTTTGGTGGCAGGAATGATGAGGCTTCTCCTCACATACTTTAGACATGCTGCTAGGAGGGGCTATTCCTTGGAGAGGGACATGGTGATGGGAAGGTGAAGGGTCGGCAAAGGAGAGGAAGACCCTTGACCAGGTGGACTGACACAGTGACTGCTACAATGGGCTCTTGTGTGTCAGAAAGTGTGAGGATTACACAGGATAGAGCAGGGTTTGGATCTTTTGATCATAGAGTCACTGTTGATCATTCTCGGCTTGATAGCACTTAACAACAACAGAGATGCTTCAACAATCAGTCCATTGCTGGGATTTTTCTTTAGTCTATGTT